TTTTTTTAAAATTTTTTTAAGTCAACATTATAAAACCAAAAAAAAAGAAAAAAAAATAAAATATATTTTTTTTATAATTGTAAGTACACATAAAAAAAAAAATACTATAATTCATCTATTTTTTTTTTTTTTAGTGTATAGACTTTTTGCATACATATTTATATTTCTACATTTTCCTTTCGCACTTAGAATGAACACATAAAAAGTTTATTTACTTTATTTAAATATCAATTAAAATATGTCAACAATATTACTCATAGGATGAGAAGTAAAAAAAAAAAAAAAAAAGGATTAAATAAAAAAAAAACTCAGATACAAAAAATGAAAAAAAATTGTTTGATAAAATAAATAATACTAAAAGAAATAAAAATTTTAAATTAATTTTTTATAAAAAGGAATAGTTTGGTAAAAGTTTTATGAAAAATTTAAAGACAATTATTTAAAAGCAAAAGAGCGTTTAGAAATTATGAAAAAAAATTCTAAGAATACTAAAAGACAAGATATAACTATTGTTATGAATGGATTATATTAAGTTAGAAATTGAAGCATTGAAATAAATAAAAAAATATATAAAACATCCCTCTTATGGATGTAAAACTGTTTTAAATTTATAAATATATTATAGAAGAAACACGTTTTAAAAACATATGTATCAGGTTAGAATATTATATAAATGGTTTAAAAAAATTTATTGAAAAAAATTAGATATTATAGAATATATAAACAGCAAAAGCAAATAATGATGGGGATAATAATAGAAAAGATAAAATTAAACTAAAATAAAAGTTACATAGTGAGTTAACAAATAAAGATTATATTATAATAAAAAAAAAAAAAAATATTTGAGATATATAAAAAAAATTAAGGAAGTTAGCGCTAATAGGAAAGAATGTACTATATTTTTAAAATATAGTAAAAAGTATGCAATTTTAAAAAATTATATTTATACAAAATAAAAATGAATAAGATAATATGTTAATTAAGATTAAATGAATTTAAAATTTACTCTAGTATTATGAAAAATTTTTAAATAACTCAGAGAATTTTTATAAAAAATCATGATCATATAAATATAAGAATAAAATAATTAAAAAAAATATAAAATGATATTGATTAAATTATGAATGTGCTAAATTCTAAATATAATAACTTTATGATAAAAAATATGTATTTCTTTTATAATATGTTAGAATTGGATAGAAAAGTTTAATTTTATCTGATTTAACAAAACTGCTAACACGGAATTGCTTTATGTAAATTGTGAATTTAAAAAAAAAAGGATACTGAAATTAATGATTCTCATTAAATAACTTTGTTAGTGAAATGAATTAGAATGATACTAAAGAATTCAACAATTGTTTTGTATATGATTTATGAAATTTCCGTTCAAAAACGTTAGCAGTATACTGAAAAAACATATCAGTAAAAAGAATTAAGAAAGTTCTTTGATAAATTTGCTTATTAAATATATTTCTTCATAATCAATATGTTACCTTTATATATTTACATTAGGTAATAAGAAATATATAATATATTACATATAAGATTTATAATTTTTTAAACGAAAATTTGTTAACGAAATGTTTTTATTATTCTCAGCTTATTAATTACTTAATAAAAAATAATTAATTAATTTAAAAAAAAAAAAAATTTCCTTTTTTTTTTAAAAACATAAATTTATATGATAAAAAGTTTTTATTAAATATAAAATAATCCGTGATGAAAATACAAAAAATTTTTTTTTTCATATTTGTAATAGTTTTAGAATATCGCTGATATATGTACCTAAATATTTTGAGTCAATGGCTAACTCATTATATTACATAAGTGTCTATGCTACTTAAAATTATTATTAATGCTTTTAGTGAATAGGAATTGATTCTATATATTTTATTTATAATATTATGTAAAACGCTTAATTTATTCACCTTATCATGTAGATATTTGTTAATATTATTTATTGTAAATAGTATACTTATATATAAAGTTAATAATTCATTTTACTCATGAGTATTAATTTAAAAAAAAGAACAATATATATATTTTGTTTAGAAAAATATAATTAAAAAATTAATGCAAAAAAGAAATTATGAATAAATTAAAAATTTAAGAAGTTATATTAACACATCTAAACAAATTTACTCTTAAAAAAAAATGGAAAAAAAACTTTACTATCATATTATAAAATTAAAGTATTTAAGATAACAAAAAAATTAAAGGAAATTAATACTTGATATTAATTTATTGTATAGTGAAATTCATTTTAGATATATTATATCAGTAATAATACTATGTTAGATTTTAAAAAAATTTATGTTTAAATAATTTTTTCATTGAAGGATACAACTTATATAAGACAGTATATGGTAATAAATTATAATAAAAATTTTATAATGAATTTTGTTAGATATCTGTTTTATAAATTTTTATCATTGCCTTTAAATTTGTTACGTTTATTTTAACTGTTAGATTTAGAAATATTTTAAAAGAAAAATATTTAAAAAAAAGTATAAATAAAGGTTATTGTTGTCACTTAGATGCCTATTTTTTCATATTTTATTAATATAATATAAAAAAGGTGACTATAAAGAAATTCTACCTGTTCATATGAACTTCATATATTAAAAAGAAGAAGTTTTCTAATTATTAGATGCTGAAAAACAAAAATAATAAAATTATTAGTAAATATTGATAGTACTTTCTTTAGAATGAAACTATTAAAAACGAAAAATAAATGAAAAAAATCAATTATAATGATCATCATTTTTGCATATAATATTCTTTTAATTACATAAATATATAAAATTCATTGCAATTACATATTGCGAACTTTTCTTAACATTTAAAGAATAGTAATTGTACAAACACTAATTGTTAATGTATTTTTTTTTATCTTTTAAAAAATAATAAAATTAATGTTTATATTTATGTTACTAAAACCAAAATATAAAAATAATTCTAATAAAAGAAAAAAGCATATAATGAAATGCTTATGTAAAACAAAATTATAATTATGTAGAGCGCAAATGAGGAATATAGAAATAATCTATTCAAAGCAAAATTGAATTATTTTAATGTCCTAGTATGATAAGAAAAAATTATAGTAATTTTTTATAAATATATTTATTTTTTTTTTAATGAAAAAAAAAATTAACAAAAAATTAAAATAATGTATGCTTAATTAATAATAGTATAATAATTATTAAAATTTTGATGCTGCATAAAAACATAAAAACAAAAAAAAAAAAATAAAAAATAAAAAATAAAACCGATAAGATAATATTATAATTATGTTTATTTTAATATAAATTAAGTATAATTTAATTATGTAATTAAATATAACTCCAAGAGCATTTTGATATAACAGCACAATAATAATAATATCACCTGAACTTAGCATTATTAAGAAATTAAATATAGTAGTGAATGTGAATCTTTTTTCTTCTACCAAAGAATAAATATGAACTATATAATAATGACAATAAAAGTGTGTTTGAGAGTTTACATTATAATATTAGTCATTAAATACTAACTATTACAATATAGTTTAAGATGCTAATACTATTAAAATAGTGGCTATAATAATCTTAATAAATACTTTATCATTGATAGTAAATTAATGTGTTGAAGTTTATTAGCAAAGATATATTAATCTTTTATGAAATAATAGTTAATACATTATATGGAAAATAACAAGTTATATATGAACACATGCTATTTGAGATAATAAATAGCTAAAAAAAAATAATTTTTAATTATATCTTTTTACCATATTGTTTTTATTTGTAATTAATGTGGTGATATTAAAAGAATGTACAATATATAGAAAATATTACAGCAAGATAATTTTTTTTTAAATTTTTTTTAAATTATCATTATAATATATCACTACATACATTTCTTTTTCTATGTACAATGATAAAAAAAATAAATATATATAAAGTATTATGTTCTTATATTATTTAAGCAAGATTATTTATAATAGAAACATAATAAAAAATTACATAGCTTTTTTTTTGTAAAAATTTTCAACTAGTAACACTTCGTATTTCCTTAAATTTCCCTTTTTCTTGTTCAATTATAGTATATTCATTATTACACTAGAGAAAAAAATATAAATGCATGTATATAACAACAAGATTCATAAAAGTTTGAAATTTATATAGCTTAACAAAATATATATTTTGATTGGATAAGGGTTTCTGAATTTTAAATGATATTTCTTTTTTTTATTAATAATTTTTTTTGTTTTTAGAATGTACAAAATATTAGGAATTCTAGTTGAGACATTGTACTAATAAAAAAAAATTAAATTTTACACTATTTATATATTATGTTTTGTATTTAAATATGAAATATTTTATACATATTCCATTTATTGCATGTACTTTATTTAAATTTACATGATTATATATATAAAAAAAATTTTTTTTCATGTCATAATGAAAATTTATGCTAGTTTTATTTTGTGAGTTTATTTTGTTGATATATAAAATTTAAAAAAATATAACTAAAAAAAAATTAAAAAAAATTGAGTGATACAAAAAGGATCATAAATTATACGTACACTTAATTGTTTAGTGCAAAAATAAAAATAGCACACGAAAAAAAAAAGGAGCATAATTGTATTTCTTATATATGCATGCACACAAAAGAAAATAAAAAAATGTATGAAAATTATGTGAAATACATAATATATTAAAAAAAAAAAAAATAAAAAAAAATAAATAAAAATTATTTAAGCATTAAAATTTAAAATTATCTTTTTATAAACATTTCCCTTTGCAAAATAAAATATATCCCATAATTAAAAAGTTTAATATATAAAAAAAAATTATCTTTTATTAGCATAAATAAGTTATATTTTTACAAAAGTATTCATTGATAAAAAAAAATATTTCTTACAGTTATAAAATACAATTATTATTATTTTTTTTAAAATATACATTGCTTCAAAAAAAAATTATTTTATACCTATTCATTTTATTATTCAATTAAAAATGAAGTTTTCAAAAATATTTTTTTTCTTTGCCTTCTTCTTAACTATTAAATTGCTAGCTCCATGCTCTTGTGACGTGGATAGAGTAGAAAATCCCCGTGAAAATGATGTTGGATTAATGAAGTTAGAAGAAGATCTTGAAAGAAAAAAAAAAAATGAAAAAATGATTTTAATCTCATCAGTTGCTACAGGAATAGCTGTACTTTTGGGTAGTGCTTTGGGATTAGGATACTATGCTCAAAAAAATAAAAGTACTGGAAAACCAAAGAGTGAAAAACAAGGTGAGGAAAAAAGTGAGAGTTCTGAGGAAAGTAGTGAATCATCGGAAGAATCTGGTGATAAAAGTTAAATAAAATTTCAATATATTAGATTTGACAATAATTGTTGTCCTTTAAATAATAGGAGTTAAAATATTAAAGTTATTTATGAACAAAAAGACTTAAGCACTAGTTTATTAGTGGTTTTTTTTTTTTTCATCTTAATAAGGTGGAAAATAATAGATATTTAAAAAAAAAAAAAGTTTTAACTGAACGAGAACCACATTACATTTTATTCTACTATATATCTTAATAATAAATTATGTATTAATTAACATTATTAAGATTTTAATTACATAAAATAATTTTATTTTGATATACAATATAAAAAAAAATATATATATTGTACGGTAAATATGTAACTTTTTAGTGAGTAAGACAAGAATTTTTTAGTATGATATTTTTTTTTTTTTTTTTTTTTTATAGAAAGGTTTTTATTTAATAAAGCCATTTCATTATATTTTTATACATTTATATTTTTCAATAATTGAAAATGTAGTGTTACTATCAATTATATAAAGCTAAGCAGAACATTTTTATATTTTATTTTTTTAATAATTAAAAATGTACTGTGGTGATTCATAAAAAAAAAGCTTTATATAATAAATTTTTTATTATATATTTATTTTTACAATTATTAGACATCCTTTTTATATTTTTTAATGTATATATAAATATCAGATATAAACTTAATAAAAATTTTGATAATATATTATTTTTAATGATTTCCATAAAGCAAATGAAATACTTTGAAAAAGATAGATGCAATAATGAAAAGATTTGATAGCTTTTTTTATTTAAAATTAAGTACAATATATGACTATGTGAAAGTTAGTTTTTTTTTTTACTTAAATCAAATGAGTCAAATTAAATTTATAAATGTACGATTATGTTTTTGATAAAAAATTATGTGGAGTTATTCACATGAAAAATATGAATTAACAATTTTCACATATATAAATGTAATATGAGCACAAATACATTTGTTGTAGTTATAGGTTATTCTTTATAAATTTGGTAAAATGTAACATTCATTTATTCTTTTATTTAAAATAAAATTTATTCAAATGTTTATTTGTTTAAATTTGTTATTCCTTTTTTTTTATACATGAAATATATATTAAGTATTAACTTTATGTATAAAAATGAGTTATTAATTTAAGTGTAAATATTTTAACATTTTTATTTATTTTGAAATTATACAAAATGATATATAATATTGCTAAATGAAGTCATAATTTTAAAAATAATAATTCTCTTTTTTTTTTTTATCATTATCTATAAAAAGTTTTTTTATTTCAATAATTATACATTTTATTTTTTAAAAATAAAAAAAAAATAATTAACCGGAAGATATAAAAGGAGTTTAAACTAAGAAAGAAGTTTTAAAAAAGGAATGTAGAGTAATTGTACTTTTATAAAAAAATAAATATGTAGGAATTTAATTAGTGCAAAAAAAAAAAGTGGACATAAAATATTGTTACTTAAATATCACTATTAAGTTTTCAATATTAAATAAAAATAGTAAATGGTAAATAGTAAATAGTAATTGATTCTATTTTTTATATAATAAGAAAATAAGGTGCATGCTAAATGATCAAAATAAGAAATTAATTCAAAAGAAAAATTACAAAACAAAATAACTTTCATGTTATAAATACCTTTTTTTAACTCCATTTTTTTTGATAATTAAAAATATTCAATCATTTAGTTTTTTAACAAGGATATAAAGTAATAAATATCTTTAGCATTTGAGAGTAATATATATATAAATATACAATATTTTCCTTATATATTATAATTTATAAAAAAATAAAAATAAAATTATGAATCATCATAACAAATGAATATTTCATAAGCTCTTATAGATAGAAACATGCATATTGCACACATAAAAATTAGTTATAGAATTATATTATGAAGAAGAGTAAAATTAATGAAACAAATAGATGTATATATACATATGTTGTAGTGTAACAATAATGAATATTATTTTATATTGCACCATCACGACATAAAAATTTATAATTAAAATAATGATGATGATTATATTTAGAATTCAGGTGCTTATTGTAAAGTGTTTAATAATGATTTACTAAATAAAATATTTGACTCTTTCACAATAAATTTAGAATTTTAGTAAGCCATAAAGATCATAATTGTTTAGATTTTAATATTCACAGTGACCTATAAATAATATATTATTGACATATTTTCAATAATATTTAAATAAAAAAAATAGGAAAAAATATTTTTTTTTGTGCATGCTAGAATGAGTAGGAAATGTGAAAATATAAACGTGCACATCAAAAAAAAGAAGTTTCACTAAAAGCAAATATATTAAAAAAAAAATATGCTTTCTCTAAAAGTAACTACACTATAACAAAAATATAGATATATTATTATTATTTTTTTTTTTTGGGGTGTTCTTAAAATTATAAAAAAAAAAATATATATATATTTTTTTTGTATATCATGATTATTTAAAAAAAATTATATTTTTTTTTTTTTTTATCTATTGTTTACATGGCTATATATTTCCATATGGCTATTAACCCGTTATTCTCAAAAAGGTTAATGCCTTTCATTAACCAATTGCTGAAATATTTTAAATATTTAATAGTAATACAATTTGTTTTTTTATTGTTTTAAACAAAATTTATTACTAATTTCAATTAACTTGTAAGAAAAGGGAAAACATTGTAAACATAGAATATCTTCAGAAAAAATACTTCAATTCAATAGAATTCAGTTTCAGAAGAGTCTAAAAAAATATTCATGCTAAAAGAAAAAAAAAAATGTAGATGATTCATATATATCCGTTAAATCTCAAAAGGAAAAAGTCATAAAATTATTTTTTTTTAGTTATTTATATTAAGGGGAAAAAATTATCTATAATGGCAAAAGTCTTTTTTTTTCAGCTTGTTTTCTTCATTTGTATATAAAAATATAGATTAAAATATAATTTTTAATTTTGACTATGCATGTTATAAAAAGATATTTTTAACTATGATAAGTATTTCTATTTAAAATATAATATTTTATAATTTAATGAACTTTTAATTTTTACAGTGAAAATTGATATATGTAACATAATTTCGTGCTTCTTTTAAAATATTATTAAATATACTACTAAAAAAGAAATGGAGCATGAAAAAAATATATATGATATTAAATTCCCATATAAATATTATTTAATCTCTTTAATTTACTTCTAAAAATATGTCTTAATAATATGGTTTTATTAATTTGTATGATTCTCACGAATTTTTCAAAATATTCATCTCATTTTTATTTTACCATATAATTCTACAAGCAGCTTTTTATCTTTTTTTTTTTATGCTTCCATTTATACTGTATGTTTAATGCTAATGTATACTTTTTATATGAGTTTTTTTTTATAATTATTTATTATATTTTCAAGATTTACATTTTAAAACTACTTAAATATAAAATAAAGAAAGTATTACTGTATGTTACTTGAAAATATTCTATTTTATTAAAAATTTTACAATGATAGATTTATTAAATTCTTTTTTTTTAAATATTTAACAAATTGTACAAACATGTTTTTCTGTTATTGAAGAATAAATAGGGATAATTCACCCTTTATATATTTGTTAATTAAATATGTATCGTAAAAATAGAACTTTGATGCAAAAAGGAGATTTTTTTTTTAAATATTCAAAAATAATTATCTTTAAATTTAAAAAAAAAGATAATTTCAATAAAGAAAAAAATGTTTTATGAAAAATGGATTATGATTACTAGGTTAAGATGCAATTTTTCATGTGAATGAGTATATTTATCTTTATATAACTCAATTTGTAAATTAATGATAATGATAAAAGAATTAAGTTTACATTATTAGTAACTGCTGTGATAGAGTTTATGTTTTACTAAATCGACACACATAAAGAAATAGTATAAATATAAAGTAAATAATGTAGGTTTTTTGCAGACAAATACAAAAGTACGTTTTTTTTTGATATGAAAATTTTCTAGTTTATAATAAAAAACATACATTTCCAAGATGATAAAATTTTTATCCTAATAAAATGATAATTAGAACACAATGAAAGGAAAAAAAGAAGTTAAAAAAATTATAAAATATATTACGTAACATCTACAATTTGTTTTAACACATAAATAATAAGTAATTACAATAACAAAGTTAATTTCTATAATATAAATAAATTCATTAGTTTTTTTCTTCATTTTCATGTTTTTCGTATATTTTTACTTCCATTATCTATATTATTTAATGATATTTTATAATTTTTTCATCGTATTTTTTCTTTTTCACTTATTCGATTGCTTTTACTAAAGTTCCTTATGATATTAAAAATATATTTTTCACTTTTATCTAATTCTGATATATTTTGTTTTATAAGTGCTTTAATTTTTTTTTTTCTCGTTTTTTGTCCTATTTTTTTACACTTTTTCATTTTCTTTTTTATATTTATTTCTTTTTTCTTCATTATATTTTTCATAAACAACATTTAATACTTCATAGTTGTCATATCTTTCTTCTTTTCATCTTAATTATATTCACCTTATTCTTTTTTATCTTCCTTATTTTTTTCCATATCATCATCGGGATAATCTTCAGTAAATTCTTTTATACTCTGCAAAATTTGTTTCCTTTCCTCTTCAATCTGGTTCATTTTAGCTTCTGTCTTGGAAGTGTATTCCTCTAAATCTCTATCACGTTCTTCTCTTTTATTCTTTTCTTGTAACCATTTAGTTTTATGTTTTTCGCTCATTTCATCATAATATTTTAAAATAGGATCATGGTTATTATTTTCTTGATTACTCTCCGATAACTTTCTTGAGTGACATTTACTAAATTTTAATTCTGAAGATTCTTTTTCATAATGAGTTAATATCAACTAAAATACAATTTAATAAAAGTTTTAAAGAAAATTTTAAGACAAATCTAAATTTGACTTAAATATAAAATTTATAAAAATGAAAACATGTATTAACTTTTTTTATTGAATATTTCATTACTTGTGACAAAAAACATAAA